GACAGCCCAGGTGCTGAGCCAGCAAGGCTTGTGCTGCGGCAGCCCTGTTGCTGCGCGTAGCACTTCCTGTGGACGGCCGCAGGTCTATCTGCGTGGCTGGAGAATGGCAAGCAGAAGAAGAAGAAGCAGAAGGAGAAGAAGAAGAAGATCGCCGCAGATCACTGGGATCGCCGCAGAGGCATACTGAAGGGATGTCCTGGCACAGTTGTTGGATGGAGCTGGCATGAAGCAGCGGGCACAGCAGCAGGGAGTACGACGCATATTTGGAATCAGCTCCCAACTTGTGTCTTTGTCCGGTTCCAGACTAAGTCCGAGTGGCGAGTGCAGGGGCTGGCCACGGACAACGTGTTTCCGGTGACGCTCCAACGGCAAGCGTGGCATCTGGACAAGGGCCGAAAGCGGCCCATGCTGTGGGTGGTGCGACGGCAATTTCCGTTGGCTCCCGGGTTTGCAACGACGGCGCACGCGGCGCAGGGCCAAACTTACGCAGAAGGGGCGGTCACGGACATGCAGATCGGCGAAGGCGGAGACCCTCTGACCGCATACATCGCTGTGACGCGAGTGAAAGACAGACACGGGTTACACATATACAGACCCTTCGATGCTGCACCCTATCAGAAAGGACGCAGCGTAGGGAGAGCTTTGCTGTTGCAGGCCTGGCGCGGAGAGAGCATTGACTGGGCAACGTTGCGCATGCGGCACCGCGAGGAGGAAGTGTGTCGCGAGTGCCACGAAAGTAAACCCAAAAGCGGGTACAGCGCCGGGCAATGGAAACGGGACGCGGACGCACGTGTGTGCAGAGAATGCGTGCGTAATTACGCAGCCAACAACACGCCCTGGCAATGCAACAGTTGCAAGGCATGGAAGCACGAAGACGCCTTTGCAAGAATGTACGCGCGCCCCCAATGCACGTTCTACCGCGTGTGCCAGACGTGCGAGGCACAGAAGCGGTGCTACAAGCGCGGTACGGCCAAGCCGGAAAGTGCATTCGGGGCGGCCGCGTGGAAAGGGCGCCATGCAGACCGACGTGCCTGCAGGGACTGCGCCATGAAAGTCAAGGGTGCGTGGCGCTGCGCCGTGTGCACGGAACGTAAGGCGCGCAATGACTTCAGCGCCTGGTCCAGGCAGCGCGCTGCACCGCAAGACGGAACGCAGCGTTGCAACGCTTGTGTCCTCAGCGCGGCCAAGCGCGCAGCAGCGCAGCGCGCAAACAACAGACGTGCGCGGCGCAGAGGACGGCCTGCCCGGGCGGATGCACGGGTCTACAGCTGCCACGGGCAGCGGTTGCCACGAAGTATCGCGCATAGAGCCATACGGCGCCTGGCTGCGACGCGGACGAAAGTAGCCGAAGAAAAGAGACAGCAAGTCATATAGGTCTTGTACGGGAAGAGATCGCTGACCGTGTGCGACAGAAGCAAGCCGAGGATGAGGTGCTCCTTTCCCCGGGCGCAGGAGCCGAACCGGAGAGAAGAAAGGCAGACGGCCCAAAGCAAGACGGAAATTGAAGCAGAAAGTGTCTCAACAGACACCAAGCCGTCGCGCAAAAGACACATGGAACCACCGGCAGTGCTTGTAGCGAAGCGTGCAAAACACGTGTCGGTGAGCAGCCAAGTGCGCACAGACCACAAACTGCAAAGAGAACAGGAAAGTGAGAAAGGTCTAGCTCCAACCGAAACCCAAACGGGCACAAACGCCAAGGCCAGGACAGTGCCGGCGCCACAACGAAACAGTGTAACAGAGGGCGGGCCTACAACGCAAGACGATGAACGCGCAGACTCGCAGGCAAGACCGCAAGAAGATACGCAGGCCACTGCGAGAGCCGCAAAGAAGACAAACGCAGCGCCGGCAAAGTTGCTCGGACGGACAGCCGGGAAGGAAATGTTCCAATATGCGTGTCCTTTTTGTGAGGCGTCGGTGAGCAGCACCGTGCGCACAGGCCAAATAGATCACCGCCGGGCGTGCGGGAAGTTTTTTCGTGTCAAAGACGGAGACGTTGCCGCCAGGAAGTATGACTACGTTTGTCCATTTTGCAAAGGGCCCGTAGCAAGCAAAGTGAAAACAGGGAAAATAGATCACCGCACCGTGTGCGACAACCAGTTTTACGTCAAAGAAGGCGCTGTTAGCGCGCAGACACGCCAGCATCCGCAAAGGTGCCCCGCGTGCCACAGTGTGGTCTGGTCAACGCTGCTCTTCGGGCGCATTCAGGCCACACACAACACACCGTCAGGAAAACAATGCCCGACAAACAGCTGGCGAGTTCCGGAGAGCAAGCACGACGCGCCGAAATAGAGAGGCCGCGGCAGGCTTGCCAGGTGCCGAGGAGCGTTTGAGGGCGGTCCAAAATGCCTAACGTTGCCTTTGGAAGCCCATAAGAAGAGAAGGGCAGGCTTCGGACAGGCCACAGAGAGGCCGCGGCAGGCCTGCCAGCTGCCGAGGAGCGTTTGAGGGCGGTCCAAAATGCCTAACGTCGCCTTCGGAAGCCCATAAGAAGAGAGGAGGCAGGCTTTACAAGCCACAGAGAAGCCGCGGCAGGCCTGCCAGCTGCCGAGGAGCGTTTGAAGGCGGTCCAAAATGCCTAACGTCGCCTTCGGAAGCCCGTAAGAAGAGAGGAGGCAGGCTCGGACAGGCCACAGAGAGGCCGCAACTGGCCTGCCCGCTGCCGAGGAGG